GTGCTAAGGATGCTGATGATGATACGAATGATGATGCTGCTGATGTTAATGCTGAGGATGATAATCGTTCTCGTAGTATTGGTGAGGACGGTGATAATGAACATGCTGAGCAGTATTAGCATGAGGACAATGAGCGGGAACATGATGATGACCATGTTTGCGGTGACGATTACATGGGTGGCGCTGATGATGATGATGATGTTGTTGACGCTGATGCTGATAACGATGACGATGCTGATGCTGATAATGGTGCGGGTGATGATGATGCTAATGGTGGTGATGATGCTGATGATGAGGATGCGGATGCGGATGCTGATGATGAGGATGCTGCTGCAGGTGACGATGATGATTATGATAACGATGCTGATGGTGATGATGAGGATGCTAATGATGATGCTGCTGATGCTTATGATGATGAGGATGACGATGACCATAATTATGATGACGATGATGATGGTGATAGTGATGATGGTGGTGATACTGAGGATGATAACCATGCTGCTGGTGATGCTGATGCTGATGATGATGTTCATGGTGATTATGGTGGTGATGATGTTTCTGATGATGATGGTCATGATGCTGATTATGGTGATGATGCCGATGATGATGAGGATGTTGATGATGATGATGGTGGTGGTGGTGATGATGATGACGATGATGATGATGAGGATGATGATGATGATGATGATGCTACTGCTGCTGCTGATGATGATGATGATGATGGTGGTGATGCTGATGATGTTGTTGATGCTGCTCGGGGGTCTTCCCATTGATGGGGTAGTGCCCCCTTGCCGTGCATCTCTCTCTCTCTCTCTTCTCTCTCTCTCTCTCTCGCTCTCTCTCTCTCTCTCTCTCTCTCTCTCTCTTCTTCCCACCTTCTCCCTGGCAGCCGTCTGGCTTGAGCGGCATCAGCTGCTGCTGCCCTTGTTGCGAACAGGTCGGGGGTGACTTCCCCATCCCCTCCTCTCGCGCGCGCGCGCACCTGCCATGTGGTGGTGGCCCCTCGCGGTTGCGGTGGCGGCGGGGCTCGGGCCCCGGTGGGCTGGAGAGAGTGCCCCTGGACGCGGTGGAAGGCGCGGCGGCGGACAGGGGAGCGGCCCAGTGGGGGCAGCATCGGTGGTCGCCGACGCAGGGGCCTTGCTGCTCTTCGGAAGGGATGCCCCAGTCGGCAGCGGGTCAAGCCGCCGAGCGGACCTTCTGGGGGCAGGCCCACGGGGGACTTCGGCCTCGAACGTGGGCGCCGGGCGGGGCGAGTTTCCCCCCGCCGTTGGCCCATCAGCTCCTCCTTCCTCGGGCGAGGAGGGAGCGGCGGAGGAGGAGGTCGGCCCGCAGAGCCCTGACTGGCATGCCCTTGCCATTCCTGTAGGGGAGACGGGGGGGGGCGGGGGGGGGGAGGGGGTCTGGCAGCAGGTTGTGAAGATTCTCTCCTGTAGGCCTTCATGGGCGCAGTGCTCGACTCCGTCCGGGAGACCATCCGGCAGGAGCGGGCCGCGCCCCCAGCGGGGGCGAAGGGTCCGCCGGGAAGGCGAGGGCCCGCTTCGGAGGACCCCGCCCAAGGGGCGGAGGACCGAACGTCCAACCCTCCTGCCGACAGCTCCTGGCCTTGAGCGGTGTGGTCAATCCAATGGGAGGACCTGATGCCCCGTCGGGGAGATTTGTTGGGCGGGGCTCATTGACGCCTGTGACGCCGACGCGACCTACCTCGTGAACCAATGCTGGTGGTTCGTTGGCACAGCGCTCCAACGCGCCGGCCTCCTCGGCGCGTGGCTCGGGGGGCGCGAGCGTTGGGGCAGCCTCGCCCCGACCGGGCAGCGCCTTTGGAGGTCGGCCTTGGGTGCCCTGGCGCTCTTTCTGCTGGATCGCTCGATCATGGGGGGAGTCAACCTAATCCCTCTATCCGGGGAGGCGGCTTGGTCTCCACCCGGTTGGGGCGAACTATTTTGAAAACCTCGAACGGCGCGGGGTGGGGGTGCCGAACCCGATTTACTTTGCACAGGGGTGATCAAGGGTCGGGGCGAGGAGGTCCAGAGAACCCGCAACCGCGTCTCTTTCGTGATTCTGGGGGGGCGAGCCCGCCTGGGGGGGGGGGCCGGGAGAAGAAAGCCAGCCCTGGGAGGGGCGGGTTAGTTTTCAAAAGCCAGTGGAAATATCGAATCCTCGGATCCGATTCCGCCAGCGAAGGCGGGGGCCAGCCCCGGGCCTGGGTCGCAGGGGGGGGCCCGGCACCAGCGATGGAGGACGAGGAGGAAGCCGTGCCGCCCAAGGCCGGGCTCTCCTGCGAGGGCGGGCCCCCTCGGTGGATGGCGCCCACTGGGAGATATCAAGGGGCGGCGTTTGGGTGGGCGGAGACTTCGACGCGCAGGGCGAGATCTTGCCTGGCTGTTTGCAGGATCTGGCGACTCGCAAGATCGGGCACTGCCGCTGGGAGGCGCCCCCATTCCGTTCCAGAGGTGGCTAGATAGCAAGGCGCATGCCGGGGGCGATAACCAGAAGGGGTGGCGGCATATCAAATGGGTTGCGCCTCGGGAGGGGATGAGGGCGCTGAGAGGGGGGGGGGGGCGGACTCTGCTACCACCCACGGTGCGCACTCCTTGTGGATCTTGACGAGAGTACCTGCGTCAAAGCAAGGGTGGCGGTGGGGTGCCAACGGAACCCGTGGGAGGAGCCCGGGTGCCAACAGAACCCGTGGGGGGAGCTCACCTAATAGGTGGATGCGCCCGATGGCGCCCGCTGCGTGGCGGGGCTCGCTCTCGAGCCCGCTGGTGCTCGTTCGGTGCTGGTTTGGTGTGCAGGCCGGCCCAGACGGGGCCCGCCTCGGCGCCGGCCTCGTGCAGGCTCGCTCTGCCTTTGGCACCTTTGCGTTTGCGCGCGTGATACGCGCGGTCAGTCCCGTGTCCCGCGCCGCACTGTTCCTCTCGATAAGGGAGGGCGTGGGGGTCGGATCCGGACGGGCGTTAGGGGCGGGGGTCCAATGCGGACTCATTCCGAGCGTCCGCCAAAAACGTCCGCTCCCCGGTCCCCTTCTCCTTGAGTCGTGTATCAGGTTTGTCCAGAGAAATTTGACTCTGTTAGGGGGTCTTCCCACTTACGGGGTAATCCCCCTCTGCCGTGCATCTCTCTCTTCTTCCCTCCTTCTCCCTGGCAGCCGTCTGGCTTGAGCGGCTGTTGCTGCTGCCCTTTTTCCACCCGCCCACCCTGCAGGTTTTCTCCCGCCGAAGGGCGGCGGTCCAATGCGGACTCTTCCCGGGCGTCCGCCAAAAACGTTCGCTCCCCCGCTTCCCTCTCTTCGTTTCTTGTATCGGGTTTGTCCAAGGGAGTTGATGATGCTGATGATGATGACGATGTTGATGACTATGATGATGATGATGACCAAGTTGATGTGTAGGACGAAGATTCTGAGCATGCTTATGATTGTGATGATCCTGGTGATGATGCTGATGATGAGGAGGAGGCGCGGGAGAGGCAGGGGGAGGAGTAGCACGACAAAAACGGGGGCTGGGGACTCTCGTTTCGTGTCGTGCCGACGCGGCTGCGACTTTGGCGTGGGCGTGGGTGTTCAGGGTTGAACGTCGCCAATGATCCAGAACTAGGTGATGTCGAATGGTTAGCGCTCTCGTGACGCCGCGATCGTGCAAAAGGATGAACGGTCCACGCGGTGGCAGAAACCAGCGCCGACGCCATCGCGTTGTTTTCCCGTTGTGGAGGACGATGATGAAGAGCCGGGATAGCGAGGAGGAGCAGAGGGGGAGGGGGATAAGGAGGAGGAGGAGGAGGAGGAGGAGGAGGAGGAGGAGGAGGAGGAGGAGGGAAAGTGTCCGCGAAATAGGGAGAATGGGTGTTTAGAAAATGGACACGTACGGTCAGGAACGTAGGCTTAGCGTGTCGGGCTGCTGGTTCTGGCCCACCACGCTTCGCCGCGACACGCTGACCATGTCCTGGTCCCCGAGCGTCAACGCCCCGAGCCTCTCGGAGCCTCCCTGCAAGGTCGTTCCCCAATCGCTTACGGATCGCCGACGGGGGCCCGATGGCTCCCCGCCCATGTTCGTGCGGATTCGCTGCCAGCGGCCTATCGCCGATCTGCCGGCGACGCATCGCCGATCCCAGGTCGATGCTTTCCTCTCTCTGAGCCTATCCTCCCCTATCGTTTGGGTCGAAGTGGCGACATGCCAGTGCATCGCCGATGTGTGTTTCTTGTGCTTGTGTGCGTCAGTCCCAGGCGGCACGCCATGGCATGGTGGCGGGCCCCAAAAGGCCCGACGCATTTCTTGTTCCGGCGTGCAGGGATCAGGCCAGAGAGATAGAGGCATACCCAGGTAGGTCAAGATCAATCCGCATAACTCGATGTAGATCCAGAGATATCCCGGGGAATCTGGCGCAAATCATGGACTGCAGCTCGGGTCGATGGACAGCAGAGGTCGTCAGGCTCTCAGCGAGCAGAGACTTGCCACTGCGTGCCTGCGGGCAGGAAAGAAGTCCTCCTCCCCCCGTTTTTTTTGTCCCTGATGGACCGTCGGATCTTATCGGGTCTGGCATTTCCCCATCTGATGCTTGCGTGCTAGGTGATTCCAGGGGCAGCCAGGCCGAATCTCTCCCTGATCCCTCGTGTCCTCCTCATCCCTCCTCATTATTCTTGTGCCCACCTGCTTCCCTCCCCCCCCTCGCCCCTTCCTCCTTCCCCTCTCCCGCTGCTCGTCGACCCTCTTCGAGGGATGTCAGCTGACCACCTCACCGATCCTCGCTGGGCCAAGAGTCGGTGTGCACACCTTCCTTGCCAAGCCAGGATGGCGCGCACACCGATCGTGGGCCCAGGATGGGCCCAGACAAGATCAACGAGGTAGTCGGTTGGCGCCCCCCAGCCTCCCTTTCACCCTTTTCTCCCGGCCCCTGCCCCTTATGCTGCTGACGCTCCTGCTCCGCGGTCCTCCGTGCCCCCTCTCCTGCTCCTCTTCTCCCCCCCCCCATGGCTTCACTCCTTCCGAGCCCTCCTGCCGTTGGGTAAGGACGATCCCGCCCTGCTGATCTTTCTGGAATTCATGCCGAGCGGCTCGATAAAGGGGGTGCCCACGTGCCATGCACCTTTTCGGCAGCAGGAGTTGACTCGATGAGTGTGGTGTGCGGGCGAGACGCGATGATGACGTTGTTGTTGTTGTTGTTGTTGTTGTTGTTGTTGTTGTTGTTGTTGTTGTTGTTGTTGTTGTTGTTGATGCGGGTGATGGTGAGGAGGAGGAGAAGGAGGAAGACGACAACGATGACGACCTCTTGAAACGGCTTCGCTATTGTTGTGGTTGTGGCTGTTGAATGTTAATTACTACACAATTATTATTGTTGGACCCCTTAAAGGCGCCCTGGCGCTCTCGCCGAGGCTCCAGCTGCATTTTCATTGAAAATGAGGCTCACGCTCGAGCGGTGTTGGGGACCGCCAAAACCGGCCCCCCAACAACAACAATGCTCCCGCTCGAGACCTCCTCCTTTTTTGCTCAGGGCTGGTGTTTCTGCTCGCCGCCGAAAGCAGCCGTCCTAACAAACCAGCGCTCCCGCTCGAGACTTCCTCCCGTTTTACCTTGGACTGGCGCGCTAGTTTTTGTCTCATCGGCGCCGCCCCCAGCATAAAACAACGCTCCCGCTCGAGGCTTCCTCCCTTTTTTACTCAAGGCGGTGCTCCTCCTTGCCGCCGAAAACCTCCGCCCCGACAAAATCAGCGCTCCCGCCCGAGACTTCCTTCCGTTTTACGTTGGACTGGCGCCGATTTCTCTTTTGAATTGGCGCCGTTCCCAGCAAGAACAACGCTCCCGCTCGAGGCTTCCTCCATTTTTCCTCGGGACGGTGCTGTTCCTCGCCTCCGACAACCGCCGTCCGGACAAAACCACGGCTCCCGCTCGATGCTTCATCCCTTCTTTACTCAAGGCGGTGTTCCTCCTCGCCGCCGAAAACCTCCGCCCCGACAAAACCAGCGCTCTCGCCCGAGACTTCCTTCCGTTGTACGCTGGACTGGCGCCCTACTCTCTTCTGAATTGGCGCCGCTCCCAGCAAGGAACAACGCTCCCGCTCGAGATTTCATTTCTTTTTCCTCGGGACGGTGCTGTTCCTCGCCGCCGACAGCCCCCGTCCCGACAAAACCACGGCTTCCGCTCGATGCTTCTTCCTTTCTTACTCAAGGCGGTGTTCCTCCTCGCCGCCGAAAGCCGCCGTCCCAACAAAACCAGCGTTCCCGCTCGCGACTTCGTTTCGTTTTACGCTGGACTAGCGCCCTACTCTCTGTAACATTGGCGCCGCTCCCAGCAACAGCAGCAGTCCTGCTCGAGACGTCCTCCCTTTCTATTCAGGGCCAGGCCCTTGCCTCACCGCCGACAGCCCCCATCCCCACCAAGGCAATCCTGCCGTTCGATACTTCCTTGTGCTTTACCCTTCGCTGGGGTTCCACTGGCGGCCTCGCATCGGCGCAGCAAGGCGCGGGCATGTGTTTTCTAGGCGGGATATGTTGAAATTCCTCGGAGGAGCTGTTTGCAAGACCTCAATGGGCGGGAGATCTGGGAATGGGAATAACGGACCCCGCTATAGAACAATAGGCCCCCATGATGTGGATGGTTATCATGATGGTCGCATGCTTCGTGTGGAATCATCGCGCATGAGGGTAAACATATGGTTGTTGTTGTTGTTGTGATTGTGGTTGTCGTCGTTGTTATGGTTGTTGTTGCTGTTGTTGTTGTGGTTGTGGTTGTTGCTGTTTTGTAGGCGTTGTTATTGCTGCTGTTGTTTATGTTGTTTCTGTTGTTGTTGGCGTTGTTGTGGTTGTTTCTGTGGATGTGGTTGTGGTTGTGGTTGTGGTTGTTGTTGTTGCTGCTTTGTTGGCGTTGTTGTTGTCGCTGTTGTTGTTCATGTTGTTGTTGTTACTGTTCTTGTTGCTGCTGTTGTTGTTGCTGTTGGGGTTGCTGCTGCTGCTGTTGCTGTTGCTGCTGATGTTCTTGTCGTTGTTGTTGTTGCTGCTGTTGCTGCTGTAATTTGTTGTTGCTGCTGGTGCTGCTGCCTTCGTTTGTGATAGGAAGGGTGAGGTCATGGTGATTTTGTTGTAGTTGATGATAGCGGTGACCATGATAATGACGGTGGTGATGACGGTGGTGGTGATGATGATTGCTGTGGTGACGATAATCGGGGTCACGACGACGACAGCGGTGCTGACGTCGATGAGGAGGATGATGCCTGCTGCGCGTAAGTTTGAGATTTCCGCTGGCGCGCTCGCCTGCGGCCGCTGAAAAAGAAAGTTTGTGACGAATTCCATTTGGAGGTGCTGGCAGCGGCAAGCCTCTCCGGTGCAGAACGCCTGCTCGTGGGCGCGCCGCGCGCTCACATCGACTGCTGCAGGCGTCAGTGCGGTCAATTATCTATCGGTCGTCGAAAGTGAGTTTTGTATCTCAGATCCCAACTTACTTTAGGCGCCTTCCTACTTCAAGGATCGAGTGGTGTTCCCTCTTTCCTCTTCAGGGGCAGACGGAATCCCAATCACAATCTACGTCCAATGACTTCCTACATCATGTTTCTATTCGTTCGTCTGGCCAATCTGTATTTTGTTTTGAATTGCAACCCCTGAGGCGGGGAGGGCACGTGGTCATTCATGGTCTGTCACGCCCCCAGGGCAACCAGAAGGTTTGCTTCCAAAGTGCATTTCCTACCGTATCCTGGCTCTGCTCTTTCTGTCCAATTTTCCCCCTTTTGTGCGAGTCGCGGTGCGCGCCCTCTAGGGGTTTGCGCGCCGTGCTTTTAATTGGCGTTCGCACCAAATGCATAGGAAGGGAGGCCACAGCAGGGCCGCCTGGAATCGCTGGCCGCCCTCTCTCAGAGGAGCCGCCCCGAGTTCGCGCCCAGCGGTGTGCCTTCCTGCCTTCCTCTTCCTCCTCCTCCCTCCTCCCGCTCCTGTTTCACGATATGTACAACTTAGCGCTCCCAGTGCGCCTTCGACTCGATAAAACCGAGGGCGGTTTTTTATCCGTATATCTCGCAGCGCTGCGCCCTGGTGGATTTGGCTTGTCTCCCCTCCTCCTCCTTGTCCTTCCTCCTCCTGTCGCCTCCTCCCCTTCTCTTCCCCTTTCTGGCTTGGTAGCAACCAGGGTCCTTTTCCTTTTCACGCGCAGCTTGGCAACGAGTACAGGCTTTGCCATTTATCGGCAGCCGTGGGCGTTTGCATTCAGGAGCGTTGCGATTGATGTTCATCCTCCCGTTATGTCGCCATTTGCTCGCTTGGAGTAGGGCTCCAAGAGCATGGAATGACCTTCGCAATCCGCGTCACCCGAGTCCGGGGCCATTGCAGGTTTTTGCTCTCACGGCCTCACGGCCCTGCGGTCGCCTTCGTTCGGATAGCCCCCTGGAGGGGCAGCGGATTCCTCCTTCTCCCCCGCCTGTTTAGCGAGAGACGGCATTTTTTGTTTTGAATTGCAGCGCCACCTGCTCTATCCGCGAAATCGACAGTGTGGGTTCCATCTCGCCAGCTGTCAGGGGACGCCGACCATGCGCTGGGTGTTTTCGCTGGGTTTGGGGTCCCATGACACAGATCGATCCGGCCCCACACATGCAGCAGAAAGATGAGTCGACGGTTCTGATGGTGATTTTCTCGATGTCGTAATTTTCGTCGCAGCCTCAGATCTCAGGGTGCACCGATGCTGGCCTGGCCCACGCTGGGCTGGGATCGGTGCTTACGTGCCCTCGGCGTTCTCCTGTGCCCCGTCCGCAGCGCAGCTGGCAGCCTGAGCTCCACCCCCCCGGCCTGGGGCCCTCCCCGGGCGGTCCCGAGGTGCTGGCAAAGTTCGGGGCTTACGGCATTGGCCTCGTGAAGAAGTACACGAGGCCGCCTGTGCCCATGTTCTGGCCCTCATCTCGCACAGGAGCACAGGCCATCAGAGGGTCATGATAATGATACGTTCCAAGATTTCATGAATTTCCCGGACTACCACATGTTCCACACGGGCGGCAGAAACGAGGGTCGCTAGATGCTCATGAACTCCTGGAACGCATCCCGAGCCAATCGTATCATGGCCGTCCTAAGCTCGGCCCCCTCGGGCAGACGATCCATTTTGTGCAGGATAGGTGTGCCAAGGTTTCGCCAAGCTGCCGCCCGTTGCCTTCCATGGTTTTCACCCCTGGAGGCGTCCAGGGATCCATTTTGAACGGATTTGTATTCGCATCCCCCTCGGGTTCCATCCAGCGCAACTCCCCCCAACCGCTTGCAAGCTGACCCTATGCAAGCAGGGCTTGCACCGAGGGTTTTCTTTCGGTTGTGAGAAATTGGCAGGCAGTTCTGCGTTTTCGGCCGTTGGGCGCCCTTGGCCGCCTACTGCGCTGCCTGGCGGGGCCGATTACAACACACACACACACACGCGCGCGCGCACACACACACAGACACACAGACACACAGACACACAGACACACAGACACACAGACACACAGACACACAGACACACAGACACACAGACACACAGACACACAGACTCACAGACACACAGACACACAGACACACAGACACACAGACACACAGACACACAGACACACAGACACACAGACACACAGACACACAGACACAGACACACAGACCACAGACCCACAGAAACAGACACACCGAACACACAGACACACAGACACACAGACACACAGACACACAGACACACAGACACAACAAACA